CTTTCCCTATTCTGCCCCAACTGCAAGCCTAACTGCCCTCTTCCAACTCAATACCACCGCTCACAGCTACCTCTCAGCGCTGTCCACCGGCTGACCTGCCTAGCACTAGACAGAGATTCGTGTCGTGTTGTATTTTATTTCTTGTTTTGATTCTTGATTGTAACCCATTGATTTTGAATAATAAAATTTTGTTTTCCTATCAAATTTTGGGTAAATTCCGATATCAATTTGTTTAAAGAAGTAAAAAATAAAAATAGGTAAAATATACACAAAACAAACACGTTTTTAAGAGTAAATAAAAAATAAAAAACAAAAATGATACCAAACAGACCTTAGGGACGGTTAGGACGACAACTTGGCTTATAATTAAAGTATAAAAATGTGTTCGATAATGAATGAATGCCCAAATAATGAATGAATATTCATGAAAAAATCACAAAGAGTTGACAGATTAAAGTGTAAAACAAAAACACAACTAAATATAACATGATAAATGAGAGAATATTTATCTAACAAGTGAGGAGATCCATGGAAAGATCTCATTTGTAACACCTACCTTATTTCCAAGTAATTTCTGGAGACTAACAATATTTTTTTCAAATTTCTGCCGCTCCTACAAAAACTAATTTAAAACCTCCTTTCCACTTGGGCTTTTATACAAGATAAACAATCATGTGAATCAAAAGCAGCTCAAAATCTACGGCATCAATATATTTTTGTACATGAGGAGTTGGGTAAGACGTTGCTTGGATGTAACAACAAGCAAGCAAGAGTAAAGTTATGACATAGTTGACAAAATAGTTATTATGGGCAATTTTACTCAAGAAACACAATTATGGAGGTAGGACATCAAGAATAAAAAAAATAGTTTTAGGTATAAAGGTAAATAAGCCAGATGAAATTCCAAGGAAAATCAATTTGTTTTACTTGAAAACAGCAAAATATTTATATATGCAATTATCAACCAATAAAGCAGAGATCTTTCCCAGCCAAAAACTAGATGGCGCAAATTTAAAGATTGTTTAGTGTAAGTTTCCTATTTAGAGTCCACTTTGTCTAGGGCAGTTATAGCTGTTTGAAAAAGCAGTTGTGAAGCTGCTGCAAAAGAAATTGTTGCTCTTGTCGTGGCCATCACAAACTTTTTTTTTTTTTTTTTGAAAATGTCACACTGCAGTTTTCTGGCCGCCCTGCACCTAGCTAGGTCCGGTGGCAAAACGCAGCTAAAAAGCAGACAAAACGTAATTTTGCCAAATAGAAAAAACGACGACTTTTCACCGCACTGCTACCCCAAATGCACCCTTAGCTTTTGGACAACTGAAGTTAAACTCAGAGATTGCTGAGAAGCATATATGCTGCTACTCTTGCTCATTTAGTACTAAAGGAAAAACCTAAGCTCACGGAAAACATTCTTCAAAAGTCAAAGGAAAAAGATAAGACAAACAATGAAGAACCATCAAGAGATTTTCACTCACATCGCATAAACATAAAGTAGCAATGGAAAATATATTTAATCTGAAGATGTTTTCCTTCAGGAAATTTTGTTTTTCTTATCTCGAAACAACTTTGCAATTATAAACGACTTACAAGACTAAGAAGAATGGCACTTGTCATTGACAAATATTGACGATTTTTATCAACACAAACAGCCACACCTGCAAAATAGCATCATGTAATATGAAAACTACAATTGATTATAGATATTGTCAGAATTTATGTGAAATCCTTAATGGAGAACATAATTTGCAATTTTCTTATAATGCACATCTTGTTCCTTCATCATTTCTCATTTTAACAAGGTCAGGTGCATTTCTAAAATGCTAAAAGAAAATGATATAAACAATGATAAGGAGAAAAAAGTTAAGAGGGGAATATATGAAAAAGAAGACTTACTCTTTATAAAATCTCGAAGCACCTGGACATTAGATACAGATAATAAGTTTTCCTTTTATATGGCTTTTCATTCTGTTATAAGCAAAATTATTGTGCTAAAGCCAAAGAAAGAATATGATAGAATTTACAGGAATGCAGAATCTGACCTCTGTTCTCCTTGAGATCTTTAAGAATATAAACAAAGTAAGCTAGCTTTATAAAAATAAAATAAAAGTAAAAACCTACTGGCATCAAAGATCTTTAGTCAAATAGTTACTTGAGAGGCATAATAACAATAACTCTTTTTACATATAAGTGGCAACTGGAGCAAGAAATTTAATTTTATACATCATATCATCTAGGCGATCAAATCATTTCTAATCCATCTAACATTAGAAATGAATTTTACTCATACCATAAAAAGCTTCTTAATTAATCTAGCAACTAAACTTGTGGTTGAATTTCATAATCTTTATCCTCAAGACTATCCTCTTCTTCAGATTCAGATGTTCCTTTTTTTAACTCAACAAAAAAAAACTTGCTTCTAAATCTTCTAGTCATTATGGCTTCTTGCTTCAAGTTTTCAAGTAAGTTACGATATCATACACTCTGATTTCTCTATTTGAGGGCATGTACATAGGCAAGGCTTCTCTTTGGTTCTTTTAGTTTTGCTCTTATATTCCAAATTTTTAAAATATATGATAATTGAAGTATTTGCAAATAAATTCAAAGAACACTTACCCAAATTAGTTGATATTTCCTTAGGTGTCATTACAGAGGGATAGTTGTGGCTCACAATTTAATTCTACTCTTCTTTGAAGTAAACAATAAATAAATAAAATACTTCAAAGTGAATATTGAAGTAGCCTTCTATAGTTGGAAATGAGATTTTCTTTTTAAACTCAGTAATTGCTTCTTTCTACCAAGGTTTATCACTTAATCATTCATTCATTGACGCATGCAACCACCCAAATCACTGTGAATCGTATTCATGGTAAGCAATTTAGAAGTTTAATAGACAAAGGCAGGAGACCCCTTTTCCCACTTATTTATATTACCATCCCTGATGTTCAACATACTTGTTTCTTTTGGCCATTGGATTGAGGGTTGTTACTTCAAACATTGATACCCCCCTAACCTTCAGTTTTCAGATGAAACTTTTCTTTTTCGACGAGCTGCCCCTTTCAAGATAATATTGTTAAGAGCACCTTAAATATCTTTGAAGAAGCACCTAGTCTCGGATTAATTTCTCTAAATCAATTATGATTTATCTTGGAAGCAATTAATCTGATATGGTATCTATTTGGCATATATTATAAGTTACTCTTTGAATCCCTTCTCTTTATGAACAAACTCCAAAATTCTGCAACATACCTTTTGGAATACTCTTACTGAAATAATTTAAATGAAATCCTCTACTGAAAAGAAAAATTCTTCTCAAGAGGTAGGATGGTGCTTATGCTTTCTCCAATTCGTCTTTATTGTTACTCTTATATTTGCCTATTTGGATTATAAATTGGGTTATCAAAAATATAGATGCTATTGGTAATAATTTTCTTTAAAAAAATACTGACGATAGTTACGGTATGAATTTTATCAAATAACGGAATTTCTGTCATCCTAAAGCTATGTAAGATATTGGTATCAAAGTCTTGTGCCAATGAGCAGTTCTCCGTAGCATGTACTATTGGAAGCATATTCGGCTAAATGTTTACATTTTGTTGAATCTATCATTCGAGAAAAATATTTTAGTAACACTTCTCCCGTGTTTGTAGTTTGCCAATACATCTCAAAGTTCAAACTCTAATATATAGGTTTCTCAAGCTGTTCATCTCTCTCTTTAAACTATATTGGAAAGTTAGTAATCATGGAAACATCAACTTTCATAATAATAAATGAATTAATGAAGCCTTTATCTCCTCTTAATTTAGGGGTAGTTTGGTTGAGTATTTTTAAGATGCATGTACTTTAGAAATGGAGATTAATTGTACTGCACAAATTTAAATGGAGAATAATTGAAATGCATGTATTATTTGATTGGAAGCAAACCAAGCCTTTTATTATGTTTGTTATGATATTTCAAATGCAATGAAATGTGGAGTCACGGCCCTCGATGGTTGTAGGCAATGGTGGCAGTCATTGCCAGTAGGTTGAGGATGCAGCAGACGACAATTGGCAGAGGAAAGGGATGATGGCCAGCTACATATGCATTGGATGGTGGTGGCCATGACTGATGAAGGTGAAGCTGCAGTCTGAGTTTTTAATGAATTTGAAATTCACCCTATTTGAGTGAATTACAAATTCCCTGCAAAAATCCACCACAAATATTTTATGGTTGGTTTATTCAAACAAAACAAAAAAAAGGAAACAAACCTAGGGGGTTACGATTTCGGTCAGCCGATCGAGTCCAGGTTTGACCCGAATCCAACCTGAATATTATATGGGTCAAAAAACCAACCTGTACCCAACTTGTGAAACCCGTTTAACATAAGGAATTACAGCTATTAGAGTTTAAATCAAATCAATTTCGAGTCAATTTAGGGTTGGCGGGTCATTTTTGAGTTGGCAAGTCAACCCAAATCCGACGTGAAAAATTAAACAGTTAGCTTATTTAACCTAAACCAGACCCGAACTCATGTTTCTATAATCGATTTGATCCCCCGATCCGATTGGGGCGCCTACGAAAAGATCGCTTGGATTTACGAAAAGGTTGTTTGGATTTATAGCTGTTCGGAATCCGCAAACCATTCTGACCAACGGTCAGAATTTCTTCGCAACCTAAACTCAGATAATTTAAGTCGCATTCAGGTCAAGTTGGCATGTCAAGATAATTTTTGACACCACTAGAAAAAACCATATTTCTTTTACTTTACACCTATAATATTGGCAACCAAATAGCCCCTCAGTGAACTAATCACTTTGCTAGAACTGAAATAATTAGTTGATTCTTCTCATTCGACTGGTTGTGTTTAGAATGATTTACAAAAAAGGATTATTTATTTTCATGCTAACGACGGAAAGAAACTTCTCTCCCTTATCAATCAACTTATTCTTAACCATGATCGGGTTATAAATACTAATCATTTATTGCCTCCTTTCTCTACATGGTTCCTTCTATGTCATTTCCTTCAATTCATTTTTGCCAAATGGAGTGTGCTCTTGGATTTAGAATTCTATAGCTACTTGTAAAATTAATGTTCTTGCTAGGATTCCGTTTTTATTAACCGGGGGAGAGGAAATAAGGAAACTGAAGTGAAGAATAGGAATTAAACAGTCGGGAAATCGAAGAGTAGGTGAAGTGAGAGAGTTGGAAAGTACAAGAGATGCATTCGTGTATAAATCAATGCGTAAGAGGGACGACAGAGGCGAGAAATGACTTACTTGGGAGTCGAGCAGGTTGTGAAGGAAAGGAGGAAGACGTGGGAGGAGGCAGCATCGTGTCAAGCAAACGAGGCGTCGAGCAGCTCTCATGACTTGCAAGGTCAGGGGCAGAGGGGACGACGAACACCTCGTGGCATTCGGTGCGAAGGAAGAAGAAGAGTGACTTTGTGTAGAGGAGGCAAGATTTAGTGTGAAGGAATAAGAGGAGTAGCTCTGCATGGGTTAAACCGAGCCATGACAAATTTAGAGCTCGTCTTATCGCACACACAAGAAGCAAAGGCTAAAGGCTTCAAACTTCACGTAAAGGCCAACGATAGGGTCCAAGAGCTAGCAATTTTACATGAAGGTTGTAATACCCAGTGAACAAATGACAATAAAATTAATAATCAAATAGACATATGGATAACCCCACTTCATTTTGTTTTTTTCAGGAGTCGCATATCACTTTCGAAGATAGTAAAAACCAAATGATGAACAGATAAGCAAGAGAGTTAGAGAGCGAGAGACAGTGGGAGAGGGAGAGAAAACGAGAGTATACGAAGGTGAGGGAAGGAGTCAAGGCTGGCGAGTCCAATCAAAGAAGAATGGGAAGAAGATAGGAGAAGAAAGAAGGAGACACAAAATGATTAAGAGCAGAAGAAAAAGAAGAAAGAGAGGTCGGGTGGAGGAACCTCGCATGTGGGTATTGTGAGAAAGGAGAAGTCGGTCCAAACCCTAGCCTAATTTCTGAGAGGAAGGGACAATGTGGAAGAGAACGAAAAAGAAAGGCGCGATCGTTTCCAGCCCTACCTTACGGTCTCAAGAAGAGAAGTAGGAGTCTCCAAATCGAGCCAAACACGTGCGGAGAAGAGGAGTCAAGCGACTCTTATGCGAAGGAAGGAGGAGTAGGTGAGGCTTCACACGAAGGAATAAGAGGAGCGGCTCTTCATGTCAAAGCCGAAGGCATTGTAGCAAATGAATGACAGATTCTGCATGGATCCACGTGGAGAAAATATTGAGTCTGGAGGTTTGGAACACGTAAATTGTAAAGTGATGGGCCCCATTTTCGCACCATTCAAAAAATGCTAAAAATGAGTTTTTTCACGTGACCCGACCCGAAGACCACCTGAATACCTAAAAAAAAAAAGCATGCGTTGTTGATTCATATTCATTTTCATGGGTTATCATCTGCGATTCTGAGGTTTAGAGTTCTCTTGCTCTCCTTGCTCAAAGCGGCCTTGAACGTTTAGGGTTTTTGAAACTAGACTAGTTTTAGCGCAGTTGAGCCTTCGGCTTCTTCGCCACCAGACTTGGAAACTCGTCAGAGGTTTTGGCGTTTTCGTCACCGGCATTTTGACACTGGCACTCAAACACTAACATTTCGACGCTGCCACTTTGACACCATTCAAGACTCCACTCAACAAGGTTTCGATAGGTTTCTAGACAGTCTTGGTGTAAAATCTTCTAAACTAATTTTGTTGTTCAATATACAATGCTTAAGTTTCTACATTAGCTATAATGGATGCAATGGAGGAGAAAATCAACAAAGAGAGAGAAGAAACCAAGTAAACAGTGAAAGTAAGTCAGATTTATTTTTTAGGATTTAGGTTCTATCTGTAAACAGTGAAAGCAAGTCAGATTTATTTTTTAGGATTTAGGTTCTATCTTTTTTTTTAATTGAGAAGTGTAATTTTTCATCTTTGTTTCACTTTCTTGCTTCTGGTTCGAGCGGGATGTTTGTCTCCTAACAACAAAACCGTCACGACGATTTGGTTCAAACTGACCCTATCGATTCAGGGGAGAAAATTATCACAGTTATTAAAAAATATCCAATGACATCTTATGGATCTTTTCCATGCTCACATTTGAATTTAATGCAAATATTGTATGATTTTGTACAGATTCACTTAATGTTAACTGACACACATATGTTAATTTAAGTTACTGGCTAAGTTATGCTGATAACTAATAATGAATAAATATTTACAAGAAAAAAACTCATAGATTGAAAGAATGATATAGAGGAATTTGTATAAAGCCGAGGTGGAGTAATAAATGATAGGAACTTATATTTTCATGATAATATAAAAAATAATAGTATATTTTATTGTCATTTTGAAAAGAAAAAAAACATTATGGAGTAGAAGACCTTTTGATATATTGGAAAATGTGTCAGTAGAAAGTTTATGATAGATCTTTGGGAAGTACATATCGCCGATAAAAATATTTAAATTTTCACTTAAACATCCATTTCCGCTTTAATATTACAAGCTTTCATGTTAGGTTGTGATAAACTTGATATTTTGGTTGATTTTTTAACATCAAAGACATCCAACCAAACCCATAAAAGGCAAGCAACAATCTTTAGTGCTAAGATAAGTTATAAAAGAAAAAGTGAATATTGGTTTCAAAATAAGACCTAGAATTAAAAAAGTTTTTCTATCCCAAAACTTTGAACCTCTTAAATAAGTAATTATAAAAGTATAAAGATCCCAAAACTTTAGACCAACAATTCTATCCCTCTTCCTGCTTTGCAAGTTCTGCAAAATAGTAATGCCTTTATCCCAATCTAAAGGTAGCTACACATAAGCATAATAAAATAAAATTACCAAGTATGAGAAGAAAATAGAAAAGATGCTTTCATGAATGCACCGCTCAAATTTCAGTATTTAAGCATGAAAATTAAAATGTGATTCTATGTCTCCAAAGTAGGAATAATTGCTTGGATGATAAAATTTAGCCTGCATACCAAAACTAATAACACTTGGCTCATGTTATTTCCATGTAAACTTATTGTAGTTTATGGTTAAATAAATTTAGGATCCATGAAGTACATATTAGAGAAACATAATCTAATAAAAATATGGTAAATTGATGATAATGACAAATTCTTAAAATGTAAACTTTGAGAAACTTAAAACATACCTTTCCTAGAGCCAAAGGAACCAAAAGGGTCATAACGAGGCTTTTAAATAATTGCACTGTTGGAATAGAAACTCCAACTCCTCCTACAAACAGTGCAAGAGAAATAGGCACCTAAAACAAAATATTTAAATATTGAACTAACTAATGGATAGAAAATTATTACTGCGGACAGAAGATGACAGAAGCACCTATAAAAGTTATATAAAGTAAAGGGGCATTTACATACATACCATCAAATTCCTATGTATTTACATAGCTAACACTTATAACTTCACATTTTATATTTATATCACCCAAATCTTTCATAACACATCGAAAATATTATTAGTTTAACATCTTAAAAGAGAAACACCTTTCCATGCATATATAGGTGTCACATATGAAAAATTGAAGTTTAGCCATTAGATATGTAAGAACATAGGATATGAGCAGCATGTCGTAGAATCTTCCGAAAGGAAAATTGCTTTAAGTGGTTTGCTTTTAAGCGGGCACAAAACAGCAAGCCCAATGAGGGGTGGATAGAAATAATGTGAAAAAAATAAGAAGATAATAGGCTATATTTTAGGCAAAACTACTGATGTTATGAAAAAGAATAGCAGAAAATACAGTTCATGCCTTATATACCACTTAGCTGCAACTATAAACAAAACAAATAGCATCTACAAGATTAATTTAAAAAAAAAAATCTAGGCAAATAATTTAGCAATTATCGTGTAACAATTTGTAGCAGATAAATAATATTAAATAAGAGACCAGATTTAGCAAGTTATGGGATGACATAAAGTATCCTATTCGTTTTCACGAATCAGCCCACCAGCTTAACGGACATGGCACCAAAAATACAAAGTTAAGCAGGTTTTATGAGCAATGTCATGCAATACTTTTAAAGATTCTAGTTAACAGTAAAAGAAAATCATTTGCAAGTGTATACATGCAATATTCCTATTTAAAAGCACCAAGACGGATCGATAACTAAATATTTACTTGAAAAAAAAAACAGAATATAGCATCAGATGAAGAAAACAACAATTTTTTTTTTGGTTATCAAATAAACCTACATGCATAATTCTATTTCTATGAATATGAGCCTCTAATGTGCACCGAGTACAGAAATCAAGCTAATGTTGTAACACACAAATTTCTGCATATCAATTAAATAATCAAAAGCATTTTTTAAGAAGATCAATATGTTAGTAAAATCATTTTGATGGATAAATGTATATATGCAAAGGTAAGTAAATTTGTATATGTGAATTCATTTAAGTAGATTTAATAATATTGCTAAACAAACCAATGCATTGTGGCATCCATAGCCATTTCCACTTAGGCATACATGCAACAGCTGATGGAGAACTGAATGCTTGCAATGGATTTGATATAAGGATCTTAAGAATAATTAAAATAATTACTAATATAAATATAACAACCTAAGCACTACCAGCCTACTTCCATTCCTTCATCCTATAACCATCAGATGCCAAGAAAGGAGTGTTAGGTATGAGAGCCATGGGGAAGAAAGGCTAGGAGTTGGGTTGTGGAGAGGAAAAATCCAGCTTTTTCATACTTTCTACAGCAAACTGACTTTTGATCGAGGTTTAAATTGGGAAGAGTAAGGATTATCATGTTTAATGATTGTTGTAAGGTATGAGACTATTTTGAAGACATTTAATTTAAAATTTAAGTTGGAAAGTAAGAATTTTTTTATAACAAGATAAATTACATGTGTCGATCTTCAATTAATAAGATATGCAATTTCTAGTTCAGGAAACAAGTATGCTTTAGTCGTATGCATGTAAATTCTTACAAAAATTTAATTTGCATATAAGATATTTATTAGACAGTTCCTTACATTGCTAAGTGTATGTTTTATGCATAACGTTCAACTTATAAATATTTAACATATATATAAGATATATATTAAAAAGTTCCACACATTGCAAAATAGATGTTTTATTTCATAACATTCATGAATTTAAGGATTACACATCAATTACGAATTATTATGAGTATGCTAACAACTTACTAAAAAGTTGTATTTTCAAATTGGAAATCCATAATGTCAACTAACAAGTTCATAAAAAATGACAAGTATTTAAATGTTCTATTATGCAAAATGCAATGAGCTTAAGAAAGTTCATTTCATGTGGGATAAACGAGCAATATCACCTAAGTGGGCAAAAAACTAACGAGATGAGCACCTGTGGGTAACAAAAAAAATCAACCTCATAATGTTGATTTGAGGGATATTTTAAAAGTGATAGTGTTATGTTATACTTGGGCACTAGTAAACTTATATGATGATAGTCAATAGCCTAAGTGATAACTTTGTAATGATAATATGCAGATGTGAGTCTAACGTAATCTACAAACTTCTATGATGATAGTCAATAGCCTAGGTGATAACTTCGTAATGATGATAAGACAATATATAGCATGCCATGTAATAAAGAAATGAAATAAGCAAATTAATATTTTAATATGATTGATCCAGTGAGTAACCACTAGAACACTTGACTAGCATAATGCATATGATGATCGAACATTTGATATTTTTGTAATAACTCATTTAGCATAACTATCTTATTTAATATTATGCTATATCCTTAAAATTTTATTTTACAATGATTATATGTAATGCACCAAGCTAGTTTATGATCATGCTTTCGATCATTATGTAAAGCTCATGCTTGACATGCAAGGTTAGTTCTCTTGATTAAATATTTGAATTATGTATTGAAATAGTTTATTTTATTGAGCTTTAAAGCTCATATTATTCTCTATTATCATGAGGAAAAGACAAGATTATGTTTGAGTAAAGATCAAGTTTTGGAGTTAATAATTTGAATTTAGATGTTGAGTTTTAATGTAAGATACAAATTACATTAAGAGAACTAATATGATGAAATTTTGATATTTTGTGCATGAACTCTTATGTTTATTAAAAGCTTTGTAGTTAATTGAATGAAACATTTTGGGGCAGTTCGATATAATTAATTGTGTTATCTTATTGAATTAATAGCATTGTATGATCTAGTTCGGGTCGTTTAGGTGGTTAAATTTAACACTAAATCTATTGTGGTGGGTAGAGTTCCAAAAATATTGTTGGTGAAAGATTTTGTCGGTTATATCATACATGCCTTTGTTACGTCTTATGCTCGACCAAGTGTGGTAATCATGAGGTGCCACAAATTTAATGAATTTATTTACTTATAAGAGATAAACCTCGATTACTAATACAAAAATCCAAGCTGAAGAAAAGATTACTCTATTTAAGAGGACTACAAGCAACTAAGAAATTAAGAGGCTATTTGGCTTAATGTCATCTAAATATATGTGCCATGTAGAAAATTATACGATCTAGATAACACTATTACTTATTAAATTCACTATATTTGGTTAGACAATTGAAACAAAATAATGTCATTTAGAATGACCAAAAATAATTATGGATTTTTGTTGTCCACATTTATTTTGGTAATTGATTTCTTAGCAATTAGATGTTAAAATATTTTAGCGTCATCAATAACAAAATAAATAAAATCAAGAATATTATTTAAGAAATTATTTTTTAAGGATGTCACCAAATTAAACAGCTAGTATCAATTAATAAAATAATATTACAAAGTGGATCTCATTTTACTAAAGAGTCCCTTGCTCCCTTTATCGAAATTTGACAATTTAACACCACAGAATAAGTGCAATAGACCTCTTAAAGATAGTAGTTTATATACATTCCATTAGAAGATAGTCATAAAAATATAAATAGATTGCTCAGACAAATTACTTGTTTATGTAATAACATAAAAATCAATTTTAAAGTAGTCCCTATACTATTCATATGTGGTAAATCTAGCCTCAGAGTATCACATTTTTTTAATTTAATATCTCGACTATATATGTCACGACTTGGCTCGGGGTTTGGAATTAACTAAGGCATGAACAAATTATCGGACGGTACAAATAAGTTTTCTATTATTTTATTTCTATTATTAACAGTTTATTATCTACATATTAATTTAAAGAGCCACTTAAAGAAGCAATTAAATTAATCAAATAAAAAGTTACCATACAAGTTGCTAACCTTACCTTCTGTATATATTATCTCCTCTTATATTCATTTTATTCAAAAGCTTAAAACTTGAAAAGAATATTAACACAATATAATAAGTTATCTAAAAATAACTCGGGAGCAATCATATTTATAAACTACAGTAACCTAAGAAAAAGAAAACAACATACATGTTGGTCTTTCAAATATCAATATATGAGATCTTATAATAATCTAATATACATTTACATGACAATTACTCCATGAGAATAATCTAAAGCTTTTGTACGCGTTAACGTTAACCATAGTTTCCAAACTTTAGTCTTTAAATATATTTTTAATTTATACTATTAACATTCACATTTGTACTAGAAGCACCATCAAAACGTAATTCAACACATATAGCAGGTATTATCCCTTCGATACAACGTTTCGTGATTTAATTTATATGATTGTCTTAGGCAGAAAGGTGTTTACTCGCACCTGACCGATATTCTCTTATTGGCACAACGATTAGCAATTTAAACACCACAATTAACGGGGGTGGTATGATAATATCTACACGCGTTGATACGCTGGCATCCCTTGCCTGTACTATAAGAAGATGAACACCCTTTTCATGCAAATACAAGCATCCATGTATGTACTACGTCATTGTTTCAATTTTTTTCTTGTGAAACACTTTACATCTATCTACAGATTAATAAATGCAATTTTACTATATCTATAAGTTATGAAATAAACAAATATATGCACATTTACTAAAATTCTAAAAGTCAAGCAAAAATGTGACATACATATAAGGGATCATGCAATAAACTAACAAGAATATCTCTACTAGAAAATCTAATACCTTCCTAAAATAGATGTTATGCAATTATATTTAATATGCATACTTCATCAATAACGACATGAAGAACCGGATAAGTTATAAAAATAAAAAATACAAACAGGAATATATTTAAAAATAAGAAACATTATTGTAACTTAAAAACATAATTACTCACCTGAAGTTTGAATGTCTTTCTCATTCCCTTGAATTCTCCTTTACAAACATAATTACTCACCTAATTACTCACCTGAAGTTTGAATGTCTTTCTCATTCCCTTGAATTCTCCTTTACAATTCTTTAGTTAAGATGTTGCATCTTTAAACATTAATTCACAATTATTATATCAATATCTACTAATAACATCCTAATTAATTAAACAAAACATCTCATACAAGTAAAAAAACTAATTTCCTCCTTTAGCTCGCACACTTCACCTTCTTCTCCTTCCAAGCCAAAATTTCTATATCTTGAGTCCTAATTCGATTAAATTGTCTATTGACATTAATTAAATAAACACACACACAAACATATTTATATAATATTTTATTAATTAACTTAATTTAAAAACTTAAAATCACCTTTTAAGCACACTCACACACAAGCGCGGCTTCATTTTGTCTTCTTCCTCCCCTAAATTCGGTCGTAGCTCAACCCAGCACAGCACGCATGCCTTGCTCCCTCTTCCCTTTTCATACGAAACATTCTCAAACGACACCAAACATGAGTCATGCTTCCCTTCCTTCGATTGGTTAGGGCACGACTCTCCTCATTTGCATCGGAGTCGAATGCGCTCAACATTTTAGTTGTCTCCAAATGTGTCGTTAGACACAGTAGATAAGCTCGTGCTCACGATCGGAGTTAGTGTCACCCTCTTCTAGCTTTCACTTCCTTTTGACGATGTCTTCCTCAGTTTAATTAGTCCCTCACAAGCGAGTTCCTCTTGATTCTCCTTCTGTTGCACCGCACGACTCCTTCGGTGGGCCCTAGGTTACCCCTTTGTCTTCTCTCTTTATCATACTTCTGTTCCTCACTTCTCTAGTTCAAATGAGGCTTTTGACTCCTAGAATGAAATTGACGTGATGTTTATCCATTCTTAGAGACAACCCTCTAAAATTCATTTTGTTTTATTTATTTTATTATTCTTTTTTTCAGTCATTGCAATATAGACCTGATCCTAAATTCTTCAGTAAATGCCTACAGACCATTATCAAAATAATTAGCTCAATAGCTAGTATTAATGTATTCATGGAGTTTAATAATCTACACGGAATTATGTGATATTCATCAGCTTATATTCAACAAATTCAAATATGAAACAAAAGGATGCTTGCAATGCAAGTCTCTCATCAATGCAAGATCTAGAGCCTTAACCCTATGTGATAGAGAAGCCATTCCTATGATTCGAAATCATGACCTCATATCACAAATGAGGGAAACCCAACTATTGCTCTAGGCTCACCATTGTTAAAAAAAAAAGTAAATAAATGGATTAAAAGAAAATTTTAAAATACCGTCATTGTTCCCAAGAAATTAGATATAACTGTCATTGCAAGAGCAAGAGCAGAATTCCCTCCCACAAGCTGCAAAAATGGCAATCAGTCCTGCATAACATCTGATTAAGAAGAAAAATGTGGCACACAGAGGCTCACTTGAGTCAATGCAACTCCACTTGACAATGTAGTTGGCATGCAACAAAAAATAGCCAACCCTGCAATTACAAAATAAGTTACTTCCCTCACCAGCCAATAGAAAAGTTCATCAAAAAAAAGATGCTAGAGAAGATTTTTCAGAAATCAACAGTGTTCAGTGGATGGCAAACAACAGCATGATAAAGTTTAAATATTGAGAAAAGTTTCAAAATGGTCCTTCGACACTTTATAGGGGACCGTTTAAGTCCGAGAGTCTATAAAAGTATCAAATTATCATAGAATATTTTAATGGGGGCTGAAATAATCATCCTTAGGGATTATTTCAACCCATATTAAAAGAGCCTGGAACTAATTAAACACTTTTATAAAATGTGGAACTAAAATGACCCAATGTAAATTAGTCAGAGGACTATTTTGGCAATTTTCAACTCAAATATGCAATTTCAGTGTTGACATACCAGTCACAAATTCACGAGGATTCAAATGAACTTGTAAGATAACCAGCGAAAAGAAGGGAGTGAGGAACAAAATAGAAACCTACACGGAAAACAAAATAATTCTGTTAACTATATGACCACCCAGATTTAAAAAAAAGGAACAAAATGCAAATACAAACATCAAGGAACAAAAATTATAGACTAATAAGAAACAAGAAGGGATTGGATCACCAAGTGGATGACCAAACTAAACGTGAAAAAAAGATACTTAGGATCAAAGCAGGCAGAACAGAAAAGTAATTGATCAAAGAAAATTTTAAATAATATATCCCACAAGCTTGGAGGCTTTCGTTTCGTGTCTTATAGGTAAAGTCTATGCACACACGAAAGACATATGAATAGTAGATGATCGAATATATGCAATAGAGTAATGCCATACAAGGCCAAGGATTCCGGCAGGCCAAGCCTCGACAGCTGCACCAATTTCTTGACTCCTCAACATAAGCCCTGAATCACATGAGAATTGTATATCTAAGAGATGGACCAGAAAAGTAAATTATCAAGAAAGCAACAAAAGTCAAAAGCTTACCAGAGAGAAAGAAAATCCCCACTGTACTGAACTTTGACAAGGAATATCTGTCAGCCAAATAGCCAAGACGAAGATTTGCAAACCCCAGGGATACTCCAGTAACTAAAGCTGCATAATAACAAGTAGAAACATGACAGATGTAAAGGATGTACATTATATCTTCATTCGATCACCCTAGTATGAAATTCTGGAAATAATGTTTATTACTAGAAAACTTGGATGCTTCTAAGTAGGGGTGTACCTGAGCCAAGCCGACTCGTGTGCGACTTGGGGTCGGCTCAATAAGTGGAATTAAGCTTGAAGATCTAAAAAGCCAAACTCAGGTGAGCGCTAGATCTGACTCGTTACCTCATGAACCGGCTCGTCTAAAAAATAATTAATATAAAATAAACTCAAAATAGATTACATTCAATACTTTATCTTTAAATTATTATAATTGTCTAAAAAATGATATTTTACATTTTATATCAAGTGATTTCTCATTAATTATCTATTAAATGCTCGTTTTATTTGTCATTATATTATTGCACTAGCTTGACTTAATATCGTTTTCTCACTTTCATAATAAACAAGCCGGCTCACAAGCCAACTCGAATACGTAGAAATAAGCTTGAGCTCAAGCTAAAACTAGATTAATTGATCAAGCTCAAGCTCAAACCAATGGTGGCTCTAGCTTGACTCGACCTGTTTAAACCCATACTTCCAAGGCTCTAACAACAATGCCTTAGCAGAAGAATAAGTTATGATAGGTACTAAATCTATATAAATATGATTCATCTTCAGCATAGAGTACACTATCTTGCTGCAACATGGTTGATGAAACAACTCAAAGGCCAAGGAATACACCTGTTCTCAAATCAAGGGTCACAACATGTACAATAATTAAGACTAATTATATCAAAAGGTTTCTGTTTTGCAACAAGATTTCACATTTCTATTTGTGTAAGAGTTATGGTTTAACATGATCAGACTATATTAATCAACTAATTAAGATTACTATTCAATAGAAACAATAATGCATTAGGTGCTCTCCTGATTAATTAAATGGTCTGCACTTGGTGGTTGAGAACAAAATGGCTATTTCCCTATGGCTTAAAACATAGGCTAATAAAAGTTCCAAATGAATCTGCAACTTAGGGTCCATTTGGGGCAGCTTATTTGGTGCGGTGACATTTTGAAAACGCACCTAGTCTGTTTGGGTAAATTGCGTTTTGGCAGCTTATGTGTTTTGAAAACGCAGAAAACAGCGTTTTCACACCGCACCTATCTAGGTGCGGTGATAGCTTTCTGACAGCGGTCTGACTTTTCTAAAAAAAATAAAAATTTGTAATAGCGACCACACCTAGCTTATCAGCAGATTATTTTTAATCAGCTTATCAACAGATTATTCAATAAGTTGCAGCTGCCCCAAACAGACCCTTAATCAAATCTTCAAACAAATTTGACTGTTCATAGTGAAGTCAGATACAACTTAAGAAGTTAAGAATTCCTTCTGAAATGAATTACTCCAAATCAATTGAGCGATCATTCGAGTTTTAAAAAGTAATATTTTTAAGTGTTACTTTTTAATGAACAACTGGGTAAGAACCCATTTAGTTAAAGATCAAAATAAAAATCAGTACCAAAGTACAACAAAGAGAACAACACGAAGGGAACATCACTAAAAAATTGAAGGAAAATACAAGCAAAAATAGGATATCAAGTGATCATCAAATGACTGAGCCGACGGTCCAAAGTTCCATATATTTTTTCTCCTAGCAGAGTGAATCACAAATGAGACAAGGGATGATATATTAAATAGCGCTATCATCCTTCCATTTTTGTTAAAAGTTCAACTGTTCACTTTCATTCAAATATTTCATAGAGCAGAACAAAAGGTATTATGACAAAACACCTTGAACGCTTTAAGCACCATTCAATGGACAATGATTAATTAATTTGGATAAGTGGTCTTCCAAATGTTGCCAATCTAACCACAATCAATAGGAAAGGTAGGTGTCATTTTTAGTTTTAGATATTGTTATGGAAAATATTAAACATAAAGCATTTGTATTAGGTAACCCAAATAGAGGAGATTTTCTGTTTGGGGCAGCTTATAAGTGCGGGTGGCGTTTTCAAAACGCCGCTGTACTGTTTGGTTTGCGCGTTTCACCAGCTTATCCGAAACTGCGTTTGGGTTTTTACACTAAACGTAGGTCATGGGTCGACCCCTGCGGTCGGCCCGCGGGCCGCGTTTCAGGATAAGCTGCTTATCCTGAAACGCATAAGCTGCCTCAAACAGACATAAACTGTTTTTTAGTAAGATATTTTCTACATTAAGTATATTCCTAATTTGTAGAGAGATGGGTGTCTATAAATATGTAACATATGATTTCAATTGGAAAAAAAAAATTCCTCTCACATGGTATTTGTCGAATCCTTCCTTTCTACATCTTTCCTCTTTGACATTAGCCTCCGACAATCGTTCATTTTTTCTGCTCGAGCTTGTTCCGACTTCCGCGACGACTTTGTCTGCTTCCTGTGATGTCATCGTCTTCTTGCTGCGACTGAATCGATCATCTTCGGCTCGGGTGTGTTTTGGCTTCATCGTGTCAACGTCTGCTTCGAACGGCACCATTTGCATCACTTGCTTCCTTCTGTTTCAGCTTCACCTACGAAGTCTGCGTCAAACTGCTTCAAAAAGGTATGCATCGACTTTGTTACAACGCCTCTGTTTCCTATTGTTGCTCGTCTGCATCTAGTTCAATTGCCCTATATGTGTCAACAAAATTAGGGCATCGATGACATCAATTCTGTATAGCTTTGCTTGCTTCATCTCGTTAGGTCAATTCCCTTGACTTCTGTTTTCAGCCTCTGTGGTTGCGACTGTGTTGACTCAATTCTTTTATTATTTTATGATTGTGAGTGATCAAGTTATTTATCTCCTAGCATTTTGGTTGTTTGTTCAAGCACTAAATGGCATCAATTATGGATGGTGAACAAAAAAAATTCTAGGATAGGTTTGATTTCTTCTGTGGCTAGGATTACGAATGAAAAATTAAATGACATCAATTATTTTTACTGAAATAAAATTGTGATTGCCTTTCAACACCGATCTCAAGATTCAGCATGCTCAAAGAGACGAAATAACTATCATGAGTTTTTTAGCCAGCCTGAACTCCTAGTATGAAGGTGTCAAATCACAAATCTTATCTGACCTTGGATGTACTTCTTTGAGAGAAGCATATACCAAAGCACTGCATACAATTCTGAGTTCTCAAGCCCCATTCGTATAACAACCTAGTACTTTTGCTAGTCAGAAGAATAAAGACATCAGCAAACAGAAGTGGAATTCCGAATTTAGGAAATCAAGAATCAAAGATAGTGTGCTACTACTGTCATAAAATTTTGAGAAGTGATAATTCTAAAGAGCATTTTTTACATATTTTCAGACAAGCAAGAAAACATAATGCTTCAGCAGTCATCCTATGTCGATACTTTATTCCAAAATAAAGTAGTTGAAAGGAAAAATAGACATCTTTTTGAGATGGCTAGGGCTTTTTGATTCAAACACATATGCCTAAACAGTTCAGAGTTGTAGTCTCTACAACATGTTTTTTTATCAAAATGATGCATTCTACTTTCTTACAAAACCAGACACCCTATAAAGTTTTATTTCTAACTAAATCTATTCTTATTGAACCACACATATTTGGATATACTTGTTTCGTTCGAGATATTCATCCACAAGTGTATAAACTTTGCCCTAAGTCATTAAGGTCTCTTTCTAGGATATTATCATCTACAAAAAGGGTATTGATATTTTTTCGCTCTTAAACAAATACATGATTTTTGTTGATGTACCTTGGTGTATGTTTTTCACTGATGATATCCTTCTTGTAGATAAGACTAGAGAAAGAGTTTAGAAAAAAATTGAATTATGGAGGTCTGCATGGGATTATAAAGGTCATCATTTGAGTAGATCTAAAATTGAATACATGGAATGTAATTTTAGTAATCGTAGCTCTAGTGATAGAGTTGTAACTATGGCTGATCAAATCATTAAAAGGTGTAAACATTTTAGATTTTTCAATTGTTCAAAGTGATAGTGATATAGATGGGGATGTTATTAGTAGAATTCACGTTGGTTGGTTGAATTGGAGGAATGCGTCGGGCCTATTGTGTGATAGGGAAGTACCGCTTATACTGAAAGGAAAACTTTATAAGATGGTGGTGAGACTTGCAAGGTTCTATGGTACAGAATATTGGCCTTTAAAAGAGAAGCATAAAATAAAGTTAAGTGTTGCTGAGATCATAATGGTTAGATGGATAAGTGGCTTGGCACTTAGAAACAAAAATGCGAAATGAATATATCCGTGATAGGGTACGTGTAGCTCCAGTGCCAGAAAAGATCATAGAGTCGTCTTATATGGTTTGACTACATTAAACGTCGATCATCTGATGCTCCAGTTAGGAGAGTAGATGTTTTAAGTTCGACTTATGTTAAGAAAAACAGAGGTAGACCTAAAAAGAAAACAGAGGTAGACCTAAAGAAAAACAGAGGTAGACCTAAAAAGAATTAGGCAAATACTATAGAAAATGATCTTAATCTATTAGAATTAAAATGAAAATATGACACTCAATAGGACGCAATGGAGAAAAGGATTCATGTAGCTGACCCCACTTAGTGGGATAAAGGCTTGTTGTTGTAATTGTCACCTTTCATGAACAAACCACATTCTTTGGTGACACATCAATGTCTAAATTCTCACCAGATTCTAATAAGATGTTAATGTATCACATCATAAGTTCAGATCCAGCTCCAACTCTAATGTCTCGCCAAATCACATATAGCTAATCTTCGCTCGAGAAGGCCTCGTTTCTCTGATCCTAATCTGGCATCCATATCATCTTCCTCAATGGATCCTCCTCCCAATGATCTTGATTTATCTATTGGTCTTCGAAGAGGTAAACATCAATGCACCTATCACATTTCCTCTTATGTCAACTATAATCGATTATCTTCCACTTTGTGTCTGTTTTTTACTTCTCTTAACTTTGTTGAGGTTCCAAAATCTATTCAGCAAGTCTTAAAACATTTTAGGTGGAAAGCAGTGATGCTTGATAAG